TTATGGAGCCCGCTATACAACAGCGAGAACTTGTATTCCCCGGGGACTTCAAATCTCCAAGAGACTCTGAAGGCCACGGAACTCATACTTCGTCAACTGCAGCAGGGCGTGAAGTGGCGGGAGCAAGCTACTTAGGGTTAGCTAATGGGACTGCCAGAGGAGGAGCCCCTTATGCAAGAATTGCCATGTACAAGGTCTGCTGGGCATTTGGATGCTCTTCTGCAGATATTCTTGCAGCATTTGATGATGCAATAGCTGATGGTGTTGATATTCTATCAGTCTCCCTCGGTTTTCCTTGGCCAATACCCTACTTAGAAGATCCTATTGCCATCGGTGCCTTCCATGCTATGAGAAAGGGTATATTGACCTCAAACTCCGCTGGAAATTCCGGGCCCTGGCCTGCAACAGTTTCTAACTATGCACCTTGGACACTGACTGTTGCTGCTAGCACCATTGATAGAAAATTCATCGCTCAAGTAGCGCTTGGAAATGGAAAAGTTTACAATGTGAGTGAATATTCATCACTCCCACCAAATTCTCATTTCAAATAATATTTCTGATATCGTCATCTAACCTTACGTGCTTTCATCATATGAAGGGACTTTCCGTCAACAGCTTTGATCTAAATGGTACCTCTTATCCCTTGATTTGGGGAAGAGATGCAGCCAACTATTCTGCAGGTGGTAATCCAGATGTCGCAAGATACTGCTTCCCTGGGTATATGAATTCATACAAGGTTTCTGGAAAAATTGTTTTCTGTGAAACCCTCTGGGATGGTTCTGGCATTCTTCTGGCCAATGGTATAGGCACCATAATGGCAGATTCATCTTTCCCTGATTTCGCATTCAATTACCCATTACCAGCAACGGTGATCAGCACCGAAGAGGGACAGCAGATTCTGGATTATATAAAATCAACAAAGTAACTAACTCTTTTCTCTCTCTTTTTATCTTCTAGATGAGTCATTGTATGACCCGTTAGAATTAGAATTAGCGAAGCTTGTTATGCGTACATTTTAATGAAAATAACTTTACCTTCTTCAGAAATCCAATTGCAACTATACTGGTTGGTGAGGCCTGGGTTGACGCCATGGCACCTTCTGTTGTATCGTTCTCTTCTAGGGGTCCAAACCCTATGACCCCAGACATTCTCAAGGTAATCAAAGATTCATAAGCACCAAACTCACATTATCCATTTGTGAATGTTGGAACATGCCTGAAGATCTTGTTTGGATGACCTGCAGCCTGATATCACTGCACCTGGTGTGGATATCCTTGCCGCTTGGTCCCCTGTCGCACCACCTTCTATGTACTACAATGACAAAAGGAGTTTCGAGTTCAACATAATCTCGGGCACATCCATGTCTTGTCCTCATGCTAGTGGTGCTGCTGCCTATGTGAAGGCGGCTCACCCTGACTGGTCCCCAGCTGCCATCAAATCCGCACTCATGACCACAGGTCAGGAAATCTATTTCCTTGCACTTTTACCAGCTTCGTCCATTTGAAGAGTTGTGAATAATACACTTGATAAAACTCTGACTTGATCATTTTGCTTCAACAGCTAGCATCATGGATGCTAAGAAGCATGATGACCGCGAATTCGCTTATGGGTCTGGCCATATTAACCCAGAGGGCGCACTAGACCCTGGGCTTGTCTATGATGCATCTGAAGGTGACTATATAAACTTCCTATGCAAGCAAGGTTACAACACAACCACTCTGAGAAAAATAACTTGGGACAACAGCAGTGTCTGTACCAGCACGGAACCTGGAAGAGCTTGGGATCTTAACTACCCTTCCTTCTCGGTAGCAGTAGAAGATGGACAGCAGATCCTAGCTATTTTTAACAGGACAGTCACGAATGTTGGCTCGGAAAATTCCATCTACACTGCTAGCATGTACATACCCACCTCAATTGGCGTAACCGTGGAGCCTTCTGTTCTGTCATTCTCCAAGGTTGGAGAGCAAAAGTCATTTCTGGTGATGGTCTATGGCCCCCCGATCACGCAGCAGCCAATAATTTCTGGGGCAATCATGTGGAAAGATGGGATTCATGTAGTCAGAAGCCCACTTGTGATCTACACAATTCTCCCAGGCTCTACCTACTCTTCTTCCTACTCTCTTCCGCATAAAACTCCCAATTTTGAAGGTCTTTCAATGTACCACAAGAATGGGATTCTTACTGGCAAGTAATAAATCTCCTTGGACATCAGATTGAACTTAGCGATATCAACTAAGCTTTTTAAGAATATTACTTTACAGCTTCTTTCAATTATGGGTATTAGAAATCCTACCAACGACACCCCCTTGTCTTTTCT